GAGCAGTTTGCAGTAACCAAAAGAAAACAAATGCTTGACTAAATTAGTAAGATAGCAAGCATACCTGCAAAAGGTGCATTATTTGATCTTGGATCAGCGACACGAGTGGAGAAATTACTAAGGTTATTCCGGGACAAACTAGAGCTGGAAGATGGTATCTAGCATCAATTCAACTGCTAAATATTGTCAGAGATATGACTCTGGAAATTTAGCAGATTGCCACAAATGGAAACAGCAAAATAATGGAAATTAAATGAAACTAAAGCTGTCTACCAGAATTATACTTTATTAGAGCTGAGAAACTCCACTGGTAATATGGTATTACACGTAACAAAGAATCATCCAGTTCGTATAAATTTAAAAATATCTCATTAAATCGTTCTAAATAGTCCATCAATGCCCGAAGAAACTTCGTCTTTGAAACATACCAACTCACCAGAACATCTTCAAACCTACTTGCACGCCACCCTTGCGCCAATCTAACTGATTGGTTTTAGGTTTTGGTCACAATCACAAACCAAAGAAAAAAATGGTGATCAAATGGTTTGGATCATACTGGGTCGAACCCAACCCTCACTTCTCCGGTGAAAACGCTCGACATTGGAGCTCGTAAACCGAACTCCATGACTTCAGAGTAAAATTTATTTATATTAAATTACGCAAATAAGATAAATTTAATTGATTTTTTCATAAGAAAACTGATTTAATGACTGCCTTTATCCGTGGCGGTGATATAATCAAACGACCCGAGATAACTTTCAATCTCTCCACACACAAGAAATAAAAAAAGAACAAACCCATCACTTCCATCCAGTAAAACAACAACGACGACAACACCACCACCACTTCCACCCTCTCGATCAACCCAAAATCCACCATGGGATCAACAGCAGCCGCTGACCTTTGCTCTGTCTTATCAGAAACACAACGTATAACAAACGCCCACTCCCGCCATTTCTTGGCTCTCTCTGTTCTCTTTATCCTCCGTCTTTCTTATTTCCACTTTCTTTTTTTATCATTAAATCTTGAATCTTATTTTTTTGCTATTGAATTTTCATAAAATTTTGAGTTGATTTATGTTTAAAACAAGATCAAACCTTAGTGATTCATATATAAATAATTTATTTTCATGTTTTGAAAATATTCTCGACCTTCAGCAACTAATTAAGCCATGTAACAAATGATTCCATTCCTGTAAAAAAAGCTGAATAGTCTTCAGCATACACTCATCATACCCAATCCATTGCATAAAAAGATTCTAGAACCTCTAAGTAACAGATCAATGAATAAAAAGGTTATCATAACTAATAATTTTTCCATATCACAAAAAGAACAACAAGCATCATCATAACTAATAATTTTTCTGCAGGCAAGAAATCCCTTAATACTCAAACTACCCTGCAACAACAACCATTGAAACATCTTAATTTTAGGAGGAAATATACTTTGCCAGAGTAAAGTACCAAAATTTTGGCTTTAGAGTAGCCTCTAATCATGGTATTCCAAATATAAGTACTCGGGTTTTGTATCTGCGAAAACAGAAGACGAGCATGATATTACCTGCAGTGTGAGAGAAGGCAAAAGGGACTCACATGGAAAGAAAGCTTGGGGGTAGATTAGCCAGACTATAAAGGAGAAGGACTTAGTTGTACTTGTTCCAAGATTGTGAGTCAAAATAATACCGCTTCTTTTCCTTCAAACGCAATCTATTCCTACGTTCCTGGTAGTTCCCCATTCTTTTTACCTAATCTCTTAATAGATATGAATGGCATCTTTGCTTAAGCTCCTTCAATTATTGCTTCCGAATATTCTCATGGTATTTGCTCTTTGTTTTTGAGGATCCAATTAATAAGCAAATCATGGAGGCTTCGCTGTTGACCTCAACACTCTCGTCTGCATTGACCGAGGCAATATCTTGGATGTGAACCAGAATTGGAATGTTGGGTGTTCTTGTTTTTGATACATGTAAAGAGGTAGGCTGAGCATCTCTTTCAAGATCTCTCTAGCTGCTGCAGCGATGCCAAATCGCTTTCTTTCTTCAAGCTCCTTAGCAGGAGTATTGTATACCAACCAGCTTTCTTTGCGTTTTGCTACAGGTTTGGGGCAATTTTGATGCCTTCTGTGAATCCCTCCATCTGGGCTTATCAAAAGAGGAGAAGGAACGAAGTAAGTTTCTCTTCTCAGTTATGTATGATATGGTTTGAGTGCTGCTTTATTGAATTACTCTCGCTATCCCTGTTACGTTCTGTGAATTTTAAAGGACTAGACATGTTTCAATTCAATACTGAGCTAGTTTCTTGATGCTTCAAACTTCCTTACAAAAGAAAAATAAAGAAAAGAAAATGTGAATGAGTAACCAAAGTTCACATAAACTAGGAAGGAAAGGGAAAGTTGGAATCTTGAGTTCACAGGCTAATGGTGGAGTCCATGTTACAATTGCTCTGTTTAAACATATCCGTCCCAGTTAATGTTCTGTTTTTTCATGTTTTAGTTTCATAGCGTCTTCACATATCGTTCCAAACTGTTTATAATTCAAAATATTAATTTTATGAATATAATTTCAACTCAAATCTATATATAACCTGGGTTTTAATTGGTAACGAGTTGAAAAATTACATAAACAATTAATAAAATATAATTTAATTATAAACATATTATGCAGTTTAATTTTTAATAAATTTATTATTAAATAAAAAAATTAAAAAAACAATATTTTTTTTCAAAACAAAATTATGAGAATACAATCGACAGTTTTATATATTTTTTAACCTTAAATATCACATTATATTAAGAGATTTCTTATAAAATTTCAGTATTATTTAATAGTCGAATTAAATAAAAAATATAATTGATATTGTAAAAGTAAATATTATTTTTTAAAAAGAAAAAAAAATATTACCCCACTTTTAGTTTTACACGGTCCTCTAACCTATTATTTTTATTATATTTTTTTATTTTTTTTTATTTATTATTTTTGGGGCTGAGTCCAGCTCAGTTTATTGGGCTGGGCTTGACCCAATTGACTCTGGTTGGATGGGCAAGTGAATTATAAGTCGCTGCTACTGTAGCAGTGAATTAAAATGCAAAGGAAGTGGGGCTTACCTCAGTGCAGGAATGAAAATGATAACTGAAGCGTGGTGGCCGGCTGTTCTCCTCTCCTCTGCTTTACTGTGCCTCTGATTCTCGTTTTCCTTAACGTTTTGCTGTTTTTTTTTTTTGTTCCTCTGTCTTTAATTCCTTCCCTTTACTGGCTTCCTCTGTCCATGTCCGTCTCTCTCTAGCTCTCGCCTGTTCTCTCCGTTCGGTCCTCTTTCTTCTCTGTCCGTCTGGTTTTGTTCTTCCCCCTCTGTTCTCCCTCCTCTGTTGCTCTGTCCAGCCCTCTCCGTTCAGGACGAAGACGATGGTGGTAAAAGCACGAGGTGCTGCAGGTTGAATGGACCAAAATTTTCCCCTGGTTCTGTTTCTCCTCCCCTTTCGTTTCTGTTCTGCCTCCTGTTGCAGAGACGAGGCGTTGATGAAGAACTCTCGCTGTTGAACGGAGTGGTCATGCTGTGGAGAACGAGTGAAACAAAAAGAAACTGCGCTGGTGGACTGCTGGCGGAGCTGTCAGCCTGAGGAAGAAGTAGTTCGTGGAATGGACGAGATGTTGTTGTTGACGTGAGGAAGAGCTGACGGTTTGGTCAGTTGTGCACTGTAAGGGGATATTCCCTTTCGGCTTCTATGGCCGGGGGATGTCATTGTTGCTCAGGGGAAGAGACGTTGCCGTTAATGCTGGTGGATGATTGGCAGTTGCATGGTCTGTGGGGGGGACCCGAAGAGAAGACGAGGGCCTTCTGCAACACTGGGCGAAGGCTAATATGGTGGCTTTTGGAAGTTGAAGGGTGGTGGCGGCGGAAGAGAGTGGAATGAAAAACCACGGAGGGCTTGCTCTGTCTGTTCTTGGTGACTGCGGAAGTAGAGGAGGAAAGAAGCATGGGGGAGGGGGCAGCGGCGGCTAGCCTAGTATTCGGCCGTGCCCCCTCTTTTATATTTTTGTAAATATCTTTTGTAGGGTTGCTGGTAATTTCCTTCTTCTGGGATTTTTTATGTGCTCGGGGTTTTTTCTCTAATTATTTTTCTTTTTCTTCTTTATGTATACTAAAATCAGTATTTATAATATTTTCTTCCAATAAATTTAACAACTAATAATAATTACTTTTAATTAATGGTTGGGATACTTCTATATTGAATCAAGGTTCAAATTTGATATCGATAAAAACAAAACATTCTTGTTCCATTAAATTTGTTAGGCTGATTTCGGCCTAATTGATTGCGTCAGGATGAATTTATATATTTAATAATAATATAATGTTATTATTAAGGAAAAATGAAAATATTTTAAAAAAAATCAAAAATCCTTTAAAACAAATTGCGATTTTCTCATATGTTTTTTTTATATCATTTTTGCATAATATTGAGTTGCATTTTAACACTATAAAATATATATTCAGCTTTAAAATATTTTGTTTTCCTATAAACATTTCTTAAAAAAATAAATTCTAAAAATATATCTCAAAATTGTTAAATTGTTAAATTAATTTCCTCTTTCCAAAAAAATAAAAACAAAATATCATTTATATAACTAAATTCTAAAAAATTTTCCAAACATGTTTTTATATAAAATAAATTTACATCTTTCTCATATTTTTTTTAAAATAGATATCATAACTAGTTTATTATTATTCGTTAGGATTTAATTAAAATATTATAAACTCTTCATCAATTATTTTGTTCATTTTATATTAGTATTTAGATATAAATTTTAATATTTGAGGATATAAAACTACATAATAAAATATATGCTTATATATTAAAAATACAAAATAAAAATTAAATACAATACTAAAATTTTAACTTTAAAATAATTAGAATTGAACTCTCACAGTATCTTGAAGTTTATATATTCCTTAAGTTGCTGGTTAGTTGGTCTGCTGCATGGTTAGCCTCTGCGTGAGTGAGTGTAAAAATTGTTTCCCTCACCTGTCTTCTTAACAATATTTTGAAGCTCATAAAAGGTCTCAAGTTTCCACGATCTTAAGCTTGGGCTTTGTATATCGCCAGCAACTCTGCCTCACCGGAATCAATGAAGCCAGAAATGCAGGAGAAATAACTCATGAACGCACCACCAATCCCAGCTGGTCCTGGTGGAATGCTCACTTACATGGCTTGTTGGAAAAGACTCTTAGTTATTTTTATTAGCTTCAATATCATGTTCTTTCGATTCAAAGCTCATAGGGCACGACAGGCACACATACATTAAGAAGAAAAGGAAAGAAACTTGGAAACAAAACAAGATACCAAGTACACAATAATATGCATGATATTGATTACTTGGAAACCAAAAGTAGCTATAAGGCTAGCTTAACAAAGTACCAGTGGAGTGGAAAGGACTCTTTTCGTGCCAACAGCTTATATGTCAAACTCTTCAAAGACCATATAAGGGAAGATCCTCGACATCGACCCAAACATCTTGCCCCATCAAGGTCATCACTTTTCGTTGAGCTCTAACCGTGTACCTCCTGAGCATGTCATTAGCTTCATTTCTCTCCATGAAGAAGACAACCCTGTCTTCGGTGACAAGGCCTTTCTGCTCTACAAAACGGTGCCAAGAAGAGCGTAGAAGAACGGGTTTTGGGTGAGCTCCAGTCCTACGGGTTGACAAGCAAAACCTCCATGCATTATCAGTAGCATCGACTGCTTCAAAATTCATCATATGGGCTCCATCAGGAATTGGAAAAGCCTCAAGGACATCGATTGGAATTGAAAGAGCATGGCTTACATGGCTTGGTTTTAGTTTCTTCGAGAAGAGATGTACTTGTGCCATTCCTTCTCAGGAGATACAAGAGTTTCTGTGAAGAGAGAAGGGCTGGTGTTGGAGCAGAGATTAGCTCTATCACCTCAAAATCTAAATGGGACCTCTACGTAGGGATATATAGAGATAGTGAAGAGATTTGCCCACAACAAACCCATATACTACATACTTGCCCCCGTAAGTACCCATGAAACATGTCCTTTGTTTTTAGTGACGTAAAATTTTCAAATGTGAACCGTCCGTACACAATAAATATATTAAAATAATTTTATGTTCAAAAATACTTTTAAAAAGTTTTGATATGTTTTTTTGAAATTATTTTTTAATGATTTTTAACTGTTTAGATATTCGGATATCAAAAATAAATTTTATTTTTTAAAAAACTTATTTTAATATATTTATAATAACAATATCATAAATATAATTTGTATTTTTTTAAAATATAACAGATATAATTTTACTAAATAAATTTAAAATCTATTTTAAATTTAAATAAATACTATCTTCATCATTACTTGAGATCAATACTAGTATTTATTTATTTTTAAATTTGAAATTATTACTTAAAAAATAAAAAAATTGCTTATACTATATTTTTTATAAAAGAATTGCATGTGATATATTTAAGTGGAGTCACAAATATTATCTATAATTGTAAAAATATCTTATTTTTCTAATTAATTTTTTAATCGTGATTTTCCTATAAGAAGAATTCTAAAATGCTGATTTGATAAAAAAAAAATTCCTTGGCTATTCTTGTACTTTTGTTTTCGTGATTTTACATGTTTTTTAAAATATTTTTTATTAAAAAATAAATTAAAATTTTTAATGTATTTTTCACTATTTTAAGTTTTTATTAAAAATTACAAAATATTATTTAAAAATATATTTAATTAAAGACACTAAAAAGGGCATCCATTGTGTTTTGTCCATCCACTTTAGTTATCGTGCGATCTCGCGAGGCTTCTTGCGTCTATCATCAATATTCGTGCAGTAAGTTAGTGATTTCTGTTAGTGATTAAAGACACTAAAAAGGGCATCCATTGTGTTTTGTTCATCACTCTAGTTATCTCCCGGGGACCGCTCCACGCGAAGGAGGCCTTAAATTTTTGTTAGTGATTTCTTATTGTTTGGGTAAATTTTATTATTTTTTCTAATTTTATTATTTATTGTTTTATTTGGAATTTTATGTTAATTTTCTTTATGATTTTGTTTTCTATTAGAGACATGGTTTTCTAATCTATTTAAAGGTCTTGTATATATTTTAAGGGAACATATATTATTAGATTTATTTTTAAAATTAAGGTTTACATCTACAGTTTTTGGACATTAAAAAAAACGTGTTTTTTTATATTTATTTATTGTTTTTCTAAGCAGAGGGTTCTGAGGGAAACCAGGAAGTGCAGGAATTGGAGGCGTTCTGAGAGACCCATAGGGTCGTTTCTTGTGCGTTTTCTCTTGCGTGGTTGAGGACATGGATTCAAATGAGACTGAAGTTTGCCCCATTAAGAAAGCATTAGAGATTAGTGTTCCCTCATCGTTGGCAAGTCAGCTTAATTGGGCTGTGGAATCAGATTTGGTTAGCAGCCAGGCCGTGGACGATGCTGCGTGTCTTAATTTATTTCTATTTCCATCAATGGCAACTCTGAGAACAGTGGTCTTTCTTCACGTTTTGAGAGAGGGAAGCTGTGGCATGTCATTAGCAAAGCAGAACTTGATTTCATAGCTAGCTTGACTATTACCTGTTCTGTGTTTTTTCCTGAATTGTTTTTATTTTTCCTCTGTACAGAAAACATTTATGATTTGCTTAATTAAATCTTGATATTTTTTCAATTAAATATTTGATTTTATTTTAAGTTGAATTAAATCTTTAAACTTCTGATTTATATTATCTTGGTCTAAATTTAAATTTATTTCTCATTGTTTTTAATTTTATATTTTTTTAAATTAAATTAAAAAAATTGGGTTATAACAAAAATTAAATTGAGTAACTATTCAAAAAAATCTTTTGAAGGGAAACCACCTTAAAAATCGTTGAATTGTCAGGATATTTCCAAATTACATGCCTAACATGGGGTCGAACTCGAACCCAAAAGTGACAGAAGGGGAGAACTTTTTAAACAATTATTGCCTGCTTGTATATTTTCTGTGCCCGTGTCTCTGTTTCAGTGTAAAGCCTTTGGCGGCAAGTTTCAAAGAGTTCCTTATAACCTGTAGTCTCCTGAACACTGGGTTAACCAGAGAGATTTTTTCAAAAGGAGGTTGCTAAATTTCTTTCATCTTTATCATCATTTAATCTTGTAAATTTGAGGACCATGCTAAAAGGGAAGACCTTAGCTGATGAACAACGCTAAGATTAAAAACCACTTCGGGAAAAGTGCATAGAATTGAATAGTTATCATTACAGTCGTTGAATTGGCCAAAATAATTATATGAGGGGGTTGAGTAGTGGCCGCCAACTATAATATTGATGTCTTTTTCATCGAATCTAAATTTTTGTTTGCAATAATTTTCTTCAGATGAAAACAAACACTTAATTAGTGCATTATATTTCGGTAACTTCTTTCTAGAGAAACGATTCCAGTTCAATATATCGCTTTTAGAAGACAATGATGGTAAGTACTTGGATAAACAGAGAGTACGAGCAAGAATTCCAGAGTGTGATGTGCATGAATTCGTAGCTAGGTTCAATCACTTGTTTTACGCACCTACAAAAGTAATGTGCATGAATTTGTTTCTTTACTGGTAGTCAACAACTGTAGGTGAAGATGGGATATACAGAGGTGAAGATGGGATTTATGAAGAAAAGAAAGTTTAACCAATCATTGGAGTTTAATTATTCCTAATAAATTTGGGATTTTTATTGTCTTTATCTCAGTCATCATTAATAATAAACACATGGTATGCGATTATTGTTATGGTTTAAAGGTTAAACAAAAAGATGAAAATTTAGGAACATAGCTCTAAAAATTGTAATTTGATCCTAATTTAATGTAAACACAAAATAACATAGAGTCGAGTAATATAAAAAGTGTGGGTTTTTTGTTTTTGATTGAGAAGCATTTTTTACGCACCTACAAAATATTATGAATCAATTGTTTATTTTTAATAATTTATTTTGATTCTTAAAATTTTATTTTAGGCAATTAGGCGCTGATTAAATGCTGATTGCTTTTAATTTTTTAAGGAAGTGTGAAATTAGAATAAAGGGAACCAAAATAAAAAATGTGTCATTCATGGGTGGCACGTGCCAAAGATTTTGTGAAAAATACACTTAGGTCCTCGATATTTAAAAATAACACAATTTATATAATTTAGGTCCCTTTAAGTTTTAAATTTTCACTTTTAGTAAAAAAATTCATTTGTATTATTTTTTATTTTTTGGTTAGAGAAAGCAGAGAGAGGGGTCCTTAAATCCTGGCGATGAAAGAAAAAATTATCATTCACGCTATTTTCGGTTACCAAAATGATTTTTCTTGATGTCCATGAGTCTCATGCGATGAAAAGGGATTGATGGTGGTCCTTTAGAGCCTCGATATTACCAAAAAACAAATCTAAGCTGAGAAAGTAAAAAATAACCTAGTTTGATTTTAATTTTTTAGACCTTTTTTAGGTATTATGAATTTATGGATTGGTTTGTAAGTGTTATAAAGATGTTAGAAATGTGTTCTTGGGTTGAAATGACTTAGAAATTATGTTTTTAGAGAGAAAAAAACATTCCCTGATTTTTCAGCCACTATAGTGATGGGCGAAATATGGGCTTGTAGATGACACATCATCTGCATTGCCTGTTTTTTTTTCTCTCTCTCAAAAAATATTTTTGAGGGTTGACAACAATTTATTTACTCCTTTAAAAAATTGAAAAAAAGACCAAGCTCAAACTTGCGGATCCGAGCTTATAGGCCCACCTACGCGGCTAGGCTTTCCATTACAGTGGCCTATGCGTGCTAGGCCATAAGTCCACAAGCCTGGGTTTTTTGTTTTTTAAACCTTTTTTAGGTATTATGAATTGATAGATTGGTTTGTAAGTGTTCTAAAGATGTTAGAAATGTGTTCTTGAGTTGAAATGACTTAGAAATTAGGTTTTTAGAGAGAAAAAAACATTCCCTGATTTTTCAGCCACTATAATGGTGGGCGAAATATGGGCTTGTTGATAACACATCATCTGCAGTGCCTACTTTTTTTTTATCTCTCTCTCAAAAAATAAGGGTTGACAACAATTTATTTACCCCTTTAAAAAATTGAAAAAAAGACCAAGCTCAAACCTGCGGACTCGAGCTTATAGGCTTACCTACGCGGCTAGGCTTTCCATTACAGTGGTCTATGCATGCTGGGTCCTAAGTCCACAAGCCTGGGTTTTTCGTTTTATAGATCTTTTTTAGGTATTATGAATTGATGGATTGGTTTGTAAGTGTTCTAAAGATGTTAGAAATGTGTTCTTGGGTTGAAATGACTTAGAAATTAGGTTTTTAGAGAGAAAAAAACATTCCCTAATTTTCCAACCACTATAGTGGTGAGCAAAATATGGGCTTGTAGATGACACATCATCTGCATTGCCTGCTTTTTTTTATCTCTCTCAAAAAATAAGGGTTGACAACAATTTATTTACTCCTTTAAAAAATTAAAAAAAAAAAACCAAGCTCAAACTTGCAAACCCAAGCTTATAGGCCTACCTACGTGGCTAGGCTTTCCATTACAGTGGCCTATGCGTGCTGGGCCATAAGTCCACAAGCCTGGGTTTTTTGTTTTTAGATCTTTTTTAGGTATTATGAATTGATGGATTGGTTTGTAAGTGTTCTAAAGATGTTAGAAATGTGTTCTTGGATTGAAATGACTTAGAAATTAAGTTTTTAGAGAGAAAAAAACATTCCTTAATTAGGTATTTTTTTTACCTTTAATATATATATATAAAGTTATTGAACCCGTTTGAATCTATGGCTCGAATCACAGATATGAGAAGTTAAGCCATAGCACCAAGCTACTAATATTTTCTAAATTTTTTTTAATTGATATCTTTTTTTAACATGTTTTTTTTCTAAATATTTTGAAAATTTATGTTTCAATTAATATCTCTCTTATATGATTTTTCTTTTTGCTTATTTAACATTTCTTAGATATAGATATTTTCAATGGTGTTGTGTGTATTTGATTTTTGAAAAGACTATTCATATTTATCTATAATTGTTTTTAATTTTTTGCATATATTAACTTTATTTTTGAAAATAAAAATTTTTTATTTTCAGATAATATTTCTAATATATGCATCCTTGCATAATATGGCTTCTCCCTTTTATTTTATTTAATCAATTTAATGCGTAAGTCTATTTCTATTATTATTTGATTAAATTAAAAAATAATTTTAATAAAAAAAATTCAATAAACACACCTGAGTAAATATTGTGTCTTATGAGATTAAATATCTTAATCAATAAATGTCCCTTGATTGTTTTCTAATTTTATTTTTAGTTATTGTTAATGATCTTTTTTGTTTTGTTTATTAACATATATAATTTTTGATTTATTTAATTATATATATGCATGATATTTTTTATTTGACCTTGGAATTTTTTATGTATGAAAACACATTAGATATAAAATATTTTTTGTAAAAAAAAAAAGTATCTGCACGTGTTAAAGCTCAAGTCAAATAGTTAGTACTACCCATTGCTTGAGATATTGATATCTAGATACTTTATTGGAAGGATATAAAAAGAATGAAAATCTAGAGGACTAAAAATTGTAATGTTTGGTTTGTAGAGGTTTTTTATGGCTATTTTTTCTTGTTAGTATGTTTTTTTTTTAAATAAAAATATTGGTAAAATGAAAAAATTTGTTAAAATAACTTAAAATAACACCACATGCATAGTTTGTTACTAACTTGAAAATGAACATCCGAAAAAATGAAATGGATTGCACATTAGGAGAGAGAAAAAAACACTAGAGACATAATAAAGCTCTGATTACTGATTAGTACATAAAAGTGTATTTTTATCAAGGTTTTATATCATCATTTTACACTTGAATTATCAATAACTCCTTAACTAAAACATGTTTTATAATAATATATCTAATAATATAAAATACCTTTAATTTATGGTAAATGTTCATTTTAAATTCAGACCTATCATATAAATAAAAGAATTGATTGATGAGTTTAAGCATTGAAATTAAAAGGATAAAGAGATGACCAAACTTAGAAAAGAGATGTTGTTGCAGTTCAAACCGAAACACTGTTAGGTATTGGGTCATATCTGGAGCTGTAGATCTCGGATTTAGGTCTACTTTATATGGATGGAAAGGTAAGACATAGGTCTACAACTTTCATGTGGAGGTCTATTTTAAAAAGGTCATTTTCAAGTCCAAATTGTAGCAACAACAAAGAAGTCTGAATCTGTCCTGCAACCCGAACATTGTTCAGTGTTTGGCTCATATATAGAGTTCTTGAAGTCCCAATGACCTTCATTTTTTTTCTTCTGGAAAGCTGAAACAATTTCCTATAACTTTTATGTTTTCAAGTAGTTCCAATTCTGACGTTATCAATGATATTTTGGGCAGACAAGAGAAGATAAGGATTGTCACAAAGTCAAGAGTTGGTCACCCACTCATCAATTAGTCATCAAATCAATAGTTCCTAATTTTGGCCTATAAAAGGAGGCATTTGCCATGCATTTAGGCATCTTGGTTTCTAGATCAAGATCATGCTCTTGTTTTCTCTCTTTGTATTTTTGTAATGTTTAAGTTTTACTTTTATTAATATCAAGTTTATGCCTTCATTCTTTTTCTTTTACTTAGTTAACTTTTATCTTATTTATGTTCTTATTTTGTTTATTTATTTTTCTTTCTTTCATTATGTTTAATTAAGTTTATTATGTCAAGATGAAAATGTTACACTAATGGTGTAAGAATAAGTATAGTGTAAACTCAATATGGACCTTAATGTTTGATACTAATATGTTTTGTGTTTGTTATCTTGTTTACTTTTAATACTTTGCTTGTTAAATGGTTAATTTAGATTTATGTTGTACAACACTTGGTACAACAAATACTTGGCACTCTCATAACCCATATTATATGGTATAACCGACACCTAAGCTATAAAAGGAACTTGATTTGTTGTTAATATAAGTTATAATCATGAATGTCTGACTAGATTTACAAGTAATAGCATTAATCGAATAAGATAACTAATGTAATCATGTTAACAATTTATAATCTGATTGGAACCTACTTTGTATGTGGTTTTCCAATTGAATAATAAAAGTTTATACTATACTTGCTTGATATACCATTAGTGGATCTTTTAACATTGACATTTGTTGTTATCATTGTTTAATCCTTACGTTAATCTTCCATCTCAAAGTTCTCATCAACTTCTTCTTTATTATTGTTGTTGTTGTTGTTGTTGTATTATTGTTATCTATAATTTATACAATTAACCTCCATGTGGTTCGACCTCGGTCTTGCCGAGTTATTTATTACTTCGACACTCTTGCACTTGAAAGAAGACATCAATATTTTGGTCGTGTCAAGTACGCCATCACCAGTACCATAAAAAACTTTCTACAAGATAAATCAAATAATATCAAGATCATCAATGGTGACCTAAGTGGGCTATATTTGCTGTAAAAAGCAAATAAGCCATCTAGCACCTTTGGAGGACAAGAGTAAAACATGCAGGTTACCATTGGTGACCTTCCTTGAAGTTGTTGGATTTATCTCATCAAGAATTTTTTTGATAGTATAGTGGTGTAATAATTAGAGCTTCAATGTGTTTCCAAATTCTATTTCTTTTTTCTTTTTTTTTTGTTTTTGCTCTCTCCTCTCTTCTAATATGTAGCCTATTTTACAATTTTTTTTAGCTTATTGTTATTATGAATAGTGACAAACTATGAATGTTGTGTTTTTTAATTATGACATGTATAAATCGTGTTATTTTAAAAAAAAACTATGTTATTTCACCAATATTTAAAAAAAAAACTATTTTTAGAAACTACTTTTGATGAAGGCTTAGTTTGTCCAATCAAATTAAGATGACCACACTCACAAATATTTAAATGACTTGTCTATTAAGAATAAGCGGGACATTGCAAAACAAACTAAAAGGAATTAGTCTTTTATTGTAGCAAAAAATATTGGGCACTCTCTCACAATTCACTATAAATTGGAGCAGTGTATTTTTTGAAAATTTTCACTTTGATCCTCAAACTTTTATTTTAAATAATTTGTCTATTTTAAGCCAAAATTAGTCTCTAATTGCATATTTTCTTAGAAGAGAGGATTCAATTTAAACCTAAAGGACTGAAGTAAAACTCTTGGGGAACATGGGGGTGGGTTGAAAGTTTAGTTAAAATATTTATTTTAATCCTCAATATTTTTTTTTTTCAGTCCATTTTTGTTTGAAGGAGAGAGAGGGTGTCACTGGATTTCAACCAAAAGAGAGAAAGTGGCTAGTAGGGAAAATTCTATCCACTAAAACAATTGATTTTTATGTTAGAAGATTCCATATGACGAGGAGGGTTACGTTTAAATGTTTTTTTTACCTTGAAAACATCTAAAATGATTTGAGCTTGAGAAGAATTTTTGTTTCTGGTAGATTTCAGGTTTTAAGGTGATTTGTTGGCTTTTGGGTGGCCATAGAATGGTTTGCCAAGGTTTCTAAGGTGTTTTTTTAGGTGTTTTAGGTATAAAAAAAAAGGTTGAAAATGAGATTTTGGGTGAAAAGACAAAGAGCCTGTTTTTCTAGCCACCACAGTGGCCGAATTCTAAGTTTCTCAAACGACATATCGTAAGCTGACACAGGTGATTTGTCATTTTTTTTTAACCATGTTGGGTGGACAAAAACATTTTTTAAAAAAAAAATTAAAGGCTCTCGCTTAGGCCTAACATTGCAAACCCGCATGCAAGCAGTTGCTTTATTGGGGCAGGCACTAGGCCTGAGTTCCTAATCTCAGCAATGCCTGACCTGGTTTTTTTATTATTTTTTAGTTTTTTTTTTAATAAGGCATTATTTGCATATATCTTTTCAAATAAATTTTTTGTTTATGTTTTAATTCAATTGTGATTATTTTTAAATGATATTAAGTATATTTAATTTTTAGAGAGGTAGGTATGATTCATCTGTGTTTTTTTATTAATTTTTTATAGATTAATTTTTTTTTAAATGTTGATTTTCTTTATAATATTTTTCATATATGTAGCCTTGCATTGATTTTTTCTTTAATTAGTGTTCAATAAATCTTATGTGTTATGTGCAGCTTTGCATTGTTTTTATTTATAATTATTGTTCAATAAATTTTATGTGTGTCGGTTTCTACTATAAATTTTATATGTTTTTCGGTTACAAATTTATTTTGATAGAGGAATTTATTAAACATAACCAGATAAATTACTTGTGTTGTGATGTTAGATATCTTGATCTTTATTTTTCACTTGATTTTCTCAATTTTATTTTTGTTTACTGTTGATAAATTG